TTAGCGTTTTCGTCGATATCTGTTGAAGAAAAAAAATTAAAAAGACATCTTTTTTAAAAAATCATAAAATAAAAAAAAAACGGGTGAAAACTACAAAGCAATCATATCAATATTTTAATCGACAATAAAAGAAATTATTAAAAAATATTATGTGTGAATATTGAAATAAAAAGATTTCACTTATTGTGTGGACATTTACAACGATCGGAATAATATTTACTTTTCTGGCGAACGATGGTGTCCAAATATTCGCCATTTCCGAGGGTCCGTGTTCTTATGCCCTGTTTACAGATTTGGATATAAAAAGAATCTTTCGTAATTCATGGCTTTAGATACAAGATACTTTATTTATATTAGTATAAATATCCCCTCTTTTTTAATCCATTGTAGTTTGTTATAATTTTCAATGGTGGGGGAGGGGGTCGATTGTTTCCAATTACGGCGAATTGAATTTCTGTGTACCCAAGTGCAAGGTCGACAAGGGCATTACGTACATTCTTAAAATTAAGGCACATGTTGAATAAGGGGCTCGGAAGAATTATCGGTCTGTGCTGCTACAGAAACTTTTCTTTCCGGATCTCAGTTATTGAAAGAAGAGAGGGCTTGAATATCCGCTAATTTTTTTTCGAAAAGTTCAACAATTATCTTGGACGCCATATTGCTAACAAATACAGTGGATATTGGGAAAAAAATCACGAAGTCACTGTTTAATTATCTACTCACAATTATTTTTTTAAAAATAAAATTATCAACCAATATTATAATAACAGCGACATGATATTTTTGTAACCAGAGTGTATACAAAGCGACCATTCACGCGGTACATGAAAGCGTGTGACTTGTGACCAGGTAATTGTTTTCAAAACATGCAAACTCAGATGATCAGGTAGCCCACGTGGCTGGCCCGTCAATCAAATCTGAAGCTATTGTTTTTTTAATGATTGACAGGCGGTATATTATTGATCTTGAATTAGGTGGATTTTGGGGGCGTTAACATAAAATTGGGTGTTTAACCAATCAGCCAGTACCGCCCTGTATCTTTCATATATAACTTTTTTCTGGTAATTTCTGGTAAGGTTTGCTAGTTAAGAACTTTCTGGTAAAGTTTGTGCCCCAAACTGAAATTATACAGGCCTGTGGTTTGAGTAGACAGTTTTAAGTGCAGTTTTTTTTTTTTTTTTTTTAATAAGTAATGGTACATGTAGGGGTATAAAAATCAAGAAATGGACGGCAAATATATAAAGAAATCTTTGTACATGTAGAAGTATTGACAATCACCACATCAGTATATTATACCTAAATATCGAAAGAAACTATTTTCTCTCCATTTTTTGAAGGAGGGGAGGGGGCTTAAATTTGAAAGGGGTAACCTTCTGTTTAACATAATACACGATTTAAAAATATTAAGTTTTCGCTAAGCATCTACGTGTAAAACAATTAATAAATTATTGCTTTTTTTTCTTCAATGAATTGCCTTAGCACGCAGTTCTTCTTCAGATGTTGTTCTTAAGGAAAAGAAAATCATGTTATATAAATTTAGAGCCAGCATTGGTCTTTGTGTACAAAATGGCTAAATTAAATATACGTGCATGTATGCATTTAAGACCAACATTATTGCAATTCCCTGCGAAAAATAAAGACATTTACTACATCAGGATCTGTGTACAGATATAAATAAAAAAAAATAAGTTATTTAGTTAACATTCATTAATTTTGTATATGAATATTATTCTGCTGTATTATCAATGTCTCTGTAGAGGACTATATACGAATTTCACACAAAACATTAGTAATTTAGTTCTTATGTTGTATAATAGATCTATCTGCATCCTTTCTCATAAACAATTTGCGAATTAAGCAGGCAACAAAGTTGATAATTAATAATTCTTTCTATGTTTTCAATATTCGAAGTTTACATTGATGTCAAACAAGGACGATTCGTTATTTACCGATTAAGAAATTTTATTTCATTTTTCTATGCACTTACAAATTTGTTTGAAAAAGAATTATGATTTAACACATAACGAGAATTTAGATTTATTCTAGACCGATAGAAAAGTATATATAATTTTTAAACGGTAAGGAAATTTTGTTTTTAATCAGAAATGAAAAATTAAAATACAATTCTTTTTTTTTTCTTCTCTCATTGAACATCTTAAAATTAATGTAGCTTATTTTATCAATATTCTGTGGTCTTATTGATAATTTAAATTATTTTTTTTTAATCAAATCATCACCTAAATTTAAACTGAGTTTGTGGAGACTATGTGTATGTACATGCTTGACCACAGCCCATTGTTCCCCTCAGGTAGAAAAACCTCTCAAATCACATAGAATATACAAAAAATACACAGTCGCAGGTGTCTTCGCGACACGTGTCTCCACCTGTGGCACGTGAGAACAGGTGCCTGCGATTACAAGGGTTAACGCAATGATTGAATTTTATCTGAATAGTTTACACTGATTTTTCTAAAATTAAAAGTTGTATTAAATCTTCTCTTACTACTAATTCCAATTCACGTGTCTTTATGAGATTTACCGAGACTAAAATGTTAAAAAAAAAATTTTATTTGTCACAGAATGTTCAATTTTATTACACAGAATTACACAAACAGGTTTTTTTATTATTCTTTTGATACACGTTTTCAAAATGTCTTTTATCGGGAAAATAGGTGTAAACCACAGCATACGTGTTTTCCATATCTGGAAAACATGCAGGAAACTACAGGTTGATAAATGCTTCCATATCGGGAATATACGTGGAAACCACTACTGCATGTTTTCGCGGTTTCCCATATTGGGAAACTTACGGGAAACCACAGGTTGATTGTTTCCATATCGGGAATCTACGTGGAAACCAATATGTGGTTTCCATAAAATGGAAACTATATGGAAACTACTGATGTCACGATTCCCATATGTTTCCATCGGGTTTCCAAATTTGGGAAACCTGGCTTTTCATCCTGTGAAGTTTTCATAGTGTCAGAGTTATCACTATAGTTAACTATATTTAACTATAGTAAGCTATAGTTAACTGTAGTATTTTTTTGTTAGGGAAATAAGAAACAGGCAAGATCAACTCTACTACACATACGTATCTACAACTTACAAGTTAAGATAGTGAAATTATCTTTTTAATCTCAATAATTTTATATCTTTTCCATAAATAATTTGTTATTTAATACTAATAAGTTAGACACTTTTGAATAAAAACATTATGCCTCTAACTACTCGGACTTGTTAGAATGAACAAGTTAGTGAAATTTCTTTTGTTTTTAAATATGATAAAAAAAAGAAATTTCTTAGCACTTTTTTCATATCTAGTTGTAACATTAATCCAGGGCACTTGATACATCTTGATTCACGCTTCATAATTATGAGTAGAAAGGGCGATGAGCCTTGACAGTTGAAATTTGATAAAAATATTTCTCATACTGTTTATTTTAGGAATTCTATTAAATGTATCTATAAGGAAAGACAAAATTGATCAAATGAAGATTCTGACAGAATTTCATATAAGAACAGAATATTTCTACACACAGATAGCAATATTCCCAGGTTAATGATGAATTCCCCAAAACAGCTCAAGACTTAAATCTTTATGCAAAAGGAATATATATAAATAAACAGTCTTACAGATTCCTAATTTCCTCAAGCTTAAATTATATTCATTTATTGTATGTTGTTTTACGTCTCATTCGAGAATTTTCATCAAATAGAGGCGTCACCATATACCGATGAAGGGCTTCAAATTTAGACCTTTACTCGGCATTCAGAGCCAATGCTTGCCCTGAAACGGGGCCTCTGTTTTACGGTTTTATCCGAAGGACCCGCTACTTTTACTTCTATGTGTCGAGCGTTTGGCGAAGGCACAGTTACTACCTATTTTTTTTGTCAACTTAGCTCAGTCGCAGCCAGAGTTAGAACCCATGATCTTCCGATCACGGAGCAAGAGGTCTACCGACTTAGCTATCGTGACGGTATTAAGGTTTATTGGTTAGAGAGAAAAGAAAAAAAAACACTTTCAAATTAATCTGCTAGGTTTCTAGCATGTGTTGAATTTCAACAATAAAAAAAAAGAAATTTCATGAATTCAACATTTGAGAAAAACCATTAGTTTAAAATACTGATAAATCACGTTGGGTATACTTGTCATGGTTTGAGAGGGAAAAAAACCCTATTTGTAAGAATTTTATTCAGTAGTTGAAGTATGTTGAGGTATCGTAATTATGAATAAGATGATGAATAATACCTTATTATACAATAAGAATAAATCAATAACATCGATTTATGAAACCAGTGGATCAGAAACACCATTCAGCAAATACATGAATTTCCTAATCAATTCACTTATTACATGTACTTCCTAAAACAGTCAGTAAATACATATATTTGCTGAATGATTCGGGAAATAAATGATTTTCCTCATTTCACATACTTACTTTGACATATACAGGAAATCTCACAATGGATTAAATACCATGTTATATATATTTTAATGAAAATCATGTAACACAGTTAATGAGGTTTTTTTTCATCATGTAACACACTCAGTGAGGCTTTATCATCATGTAACAGAGTTAGTGAGGTTTTATTATCATGTTACATACTCAGTGAGGTTTTATTATCATGTAACACACTCAGTGAGGTTTTATCATCATGTAACACACTCAGTGGGGTTTTATTATCATGTAACACACTCAGTGAGGTTTTATCATTATGTAACACACTCAGTGAGGTTTTATTATCATGTAACACACTCGGTGAGGTTTTATTATCATGTAACACACTCAGTGAGGTTTTATTATCATGTTACATACTCAGTGAGGTTTTATTATCATGTAACACACTCAGTGAGGTTTTATCATTATGTAACACACTCAGTGAGGTTTTATTATCATGTAACACACTCAGTGAGGTTTTATCATTATGTAACACACTCAGTGAGGTTTTATCATTATGTAACACACTCAGTGAGGTTTTATTATCATGTAATACACTCAGTGAGGTTTTATCATCATGAGAGTCTCCTTAATCTCTTTACTACTGGTTATTGTAGGATGCCAAGGACTTGCCCAATATGCCGGATACCAAGGACCATTGAGGTTGACCAAGTGACAGTTCTTAAACCACCAGCCTCCTTCAAAAGTGATAGCACAATTCAAACTACTTTCCCTGTCATTATCCCTGTCTGGGGTGGTGAAGTACATCCCAGACATATCATGGCTCCTCATGCTGTCTCCTATATAGAAAAAAAATAAGAGCACAGTTAACTCCACTAAACTTGTCATTATCTCTGTCTGGTGTACGCAGCTAGGTTAAGGACGCCCATGAAATATACGCCTTTATATACTCAGGGAAAATGAATACAATTTTAGTATTTTTTTAACAGCAGTAGTTTTGATAAATGTGAATTGTGGTGATTGCATTTGTATATATCGGGTCTCTGCTGAGTTCGGCCAAAGTGACATCGCTTACATCAGCTGTTTGTCACGTGACAGGTTTAAAATTGGAACATATATGTACTACTACAAAGATCGTAAAAGTTCAACGATATACGGGCATTCTTCCGCTATAAAATTTATTTTGTTTTCTTTGAGACAAATTCCTTAACCCGAAAAGTGCTGGGAGCAACTTCCTCATGCTTGAGAATTGTTTAAAATTTAGCCGTCTTTCTATAAACTCCAGACAAAAATGTAATACGCATTGGAATAATGTTAGATTACGGAATGAATAAACAATGTACAACCAGCTCCCAGCACTTTTCAGAATAGTAGGAATAATGGCTACATGTGTTTAAAAATTCAGAATTTATAGTAAAACGGATATCGTTGAACTTTTGATATTTTCGAGGGGCTGGACCCCTCATTCTAGCACGTTACTGTACAAATGTGCTCCCTACGGCTATATATAAAGTCTACACATTATCAATTTAGTTTGACAATAAAATGTGGATTAATATATTTCAGAATATGTCTCTCTTTTTGTCTGACTACGCATGTTTCGTATTTATTTTTATTTTTACAAGCCACGATAAAAGTTTGATCCACGCCTCAAATACAGAGAAACTGCGTGTCAAACTAAGAAATGACGTCATCTCAGTAAGTACAGCGAGATCAAGCTGGCTTTCATTCTGCATATGCTAAATGCTATTATGGCAAGATAAGTTGCACATCCATTTATATTTATAACATTTATGAGAAACGAAAGTATTTCGTGTGTTTTAAAAAGAACATTATAGTATTTATTCATCGAGATTCATTTGTATTGTTTTAACGTGACGTCATAATAGCTCTCCCAAACCTCTGCATAGGCTGACGTAGATATGGGAGTCCTTAACCTAGCTGCGTACTGAATGACATCCCAGACAGTTTTGCCCAAGAATATCCAGACTTTAACATACTGTAACCTATAGAAGTAAAGATTAATTCAGATTTAAGCATTCATTTAAAAAAAAATTGAAATGATTAAGATCAAATGTCAATATACTAAAATCAAATTCAAGTTTTTTTATTAACTTTAAGATCTCTCTCTCTCTCTCTCTCTCTCTCTCTCTCAATGATTGTCACAGATCAAACATTTTACTTATGACTTGCCCAAGGACCCAATAGCTGGTCCTCCTAGAAAGAGTTTGTAGTTGCCTTCTTCACCAGACACAGAGAAGTGTTGATAAACTTCGTAGAGAGTTGTACCATTACTTAATGTAATTGAGACGTAGAGGGATGAGTTACCTCCCTTGGTCAGCTGATGAATCACGTCATTCCCTTCAACATATCATTTGTGGGAATACATAAACCATTATAGCAAACTATGTGTATTTCAGGATCGGTGTGGTGTGATGCAGTCAAATATATCTTAACATCATGAAGGTATATAGTTTTGTGTTTGTGAGTGAGAAGTGTTTAAACTTTTAAAACTTTGCGGAAAAGATACGATAATATAATGATATAATAATTTTTGACAAGCTAAATTTATGCTGAAAAGTAAATTCTAAAAACTGAAAAACCAAACAAATGTGCATTCCTTGAGATATCATTTATGCAAACAAATGAACACTGTAATGGTCATTGCACAAACTAATAAAAAATCTACCTATCCAATAGGAGTCATAAGTTAAGGATCCCCAAAACCGTTTTTTATACTCCGGCCATGTTTTGTTAAAAGTCACGGATCCACTCCTCCGCCTTTGAATTGCCTAAATATTATTAGCAGAAATAAAACAAGCTTATAAATTCCATTAAATATGAAATCAAATATATTTCTCTGATAATCATATTTTGTTTATCGTTCCTATTTTGTTTCATAGGAAAACTCTACTTTCTACTAGTAATTAAAAGAAGTCTGTGAGAGAGAGAGAGAGAGAGAGAGAGAGAGAGAGAGAGAGATCGTACTGTCCACCTTCCGCCCTCTGTCACCATGTCACAGTACACGTTGACTTGGATTTCGTTATCAAAGGGATGTATGATGTATACACCAGACTGTTTATGTCCTTGTAGATTGTGGTCCTTACAATCTGTACTGAGTTTGAAACCTATGTAAAAGGATAGAATAATAATTATAAATAGAATAGAAAAGAAGATGGCCTTCCCTTAGATTGAAGAAAACATTTGAGGATCAAATCTTTTTTTATCAAATAAGTAGACCAAAGTGACAACAAACCATATTCTTCACTATTTTAATTATTAAATGCTATAAAAAAAACTCAATACGTTTCAATATACATACTGGTATGTTTCCTTGAAAAAATGTTTACATGTGCAGCCATTTCTCTTGCGTAAGTTATTTAAACAGATTCAACATAGAACAACAATATCATTGTGATATAAACGGTCTACATACTTTCAATTTACAACAAATTCATTACTAATCGGTTCAGTAATTATATAAGAGATTATATGCTATTTAAGGTCTTCCGCTCCAGGCGGAAGACCTTCTACTGATTCTGATGGTTAAGATTATTAGGGTCTTCCGAGCTTCCTTCGGAAGACCCTTCTGTTATTCTACTGTTTCTTATTATTATTATTTTTTTCCCACCGATTTTCAGCAGGCGATTTCTCGGAGATCTTTCGTCTGATTGCTATGAAACTTTCAGGGTAGATACAATGTGTTATTGCCTAAAAATGGTTTTTTCAAATTTTTAATATGTACCTCCATTCATGAGTTATTGCCCTTTAATCGATATTTGGAGGGTCTCTTGTCTAGTAGAAATCTCCGTAACGACATATGATGTTTGCATGAAAATTGGAGAACTTGTAACTAATACATTGTAGATTTGCAGAACATTAAAATTGTAGGCTAATTTTATTGAGTTTGGAAGCTATGTGACGGCAAATTTTAAGAATTATTTTTCCATGAAATTTTGCTGCTTTTTGTTTAATAACTTTTAAACTGATAAAAATTTGGTAAGACATATAGAATAAAAGTTGTGTGTAATTACGAGAGCTTTCAGATAACATCAGGAAAAAGGGGCTGGCTCCTATATTTAGGGGACAGCAGGTCATAAAAGTATTTTTTGGATAGCTAAAAATATTAAAATATTATGAAAAAGTCTGAATGACATAATTTCTAACATATTAAATCTTGTCATCTGGTATAAAGAAAAACAAGCTCCGTGCTATATTTTATTATATTTTATAAAATAATTATTTGAGAATCGTACAGGAACAAGTTGTCTACAAACCAGCCATGCCTTTTTGGGGCGTCGTATCACATGTACGGTTTTAGATAGTTGTTGTGTTTTAAATAAATTGTTTTGATTCGATTTCTCTGTTTTCTTTTATTTAAATCGTTTATAAATGCAAGTTTATATTTACACAAATAAAGGCAAATCAACATGTACTAATGCATCCGCATAGAAAAGGTCTAAATCGGGGCCTCTTGTTTGTAACCTGGATGTAAACAATCACGAGCGGCATTGTGGGTAGGAAGATACTAAAGACCGGATATACGAAAAACGTGATTTGATCTGATGCTTTGTTAGTAAATATTTCAAAAAAGTGTAGTTTAGTATAGCATAATGCTTCAAATCAAATATTTTTAAAAATAAATCATGTATTACATTTAATCTGATTATTTTATTTTTTTAAAATATCATCAGGTCGAATATCAGGTCTTTAGTATATCAAGTCTTTAGTACGTCCCTGGAAGAAGCTATGCAAGTCGGAATTACAGACAGAAGTGAAGTTGACAGTTGTACATTTTCTCAACGTGTACGAGCCGTATGTAGACATGCATATTTAATCCACATCTACGAAGCACATGAAATCCTTGGCTGCATACAGAGAGCATTAGTCTTAAAGGGATATATATATTCTTGCGCAAATTGTTTACGAGGAAATTCTGACGATCACATTAACAGCGATGAACATGCAGTCTGTGTCGGAGTTTTCAGTGATAAATGTAGCGAGTGACGATAGAGTTCACGGTGATTTTTTAATATGTGATTGGCGTGGACCTTGGAAATGAAGGTTAGAATTTTTCTTATCTAAAATTTAACAGCTGCTTACAGCACAGATGTTTTACATGTATATGCCAGCAAATGTATAAATGTACGCACAAACACTGATGCATGTTATCTATTTTATGGTTCAGACTCTGTCTGTTAGCCCTGACATGACATTGTCAAATCCCCATTGCTTTACCTTATATTTAAATACATGTGAGCATGTAATTTCACCAAGACTTATTTTTTTGATTGAAACAAAAAATTGCAAAAATTCATCAATACACTATCTAACATACTACATGTATAAACGTGAAAGTTATTGTTATATATTCTTCAACAAGTATGAATAGCTGTGAGAATTAGGGCCTTAATTAATATTATAATTTGTTATACCTTTAAAAATTTGTTTCTATATAAATCTATACCAGCTGTATACTTAAAATGTCTAACATTTCCAATGTTTTAATGAGCAGTCATAAAAAAATCGATGTTGAACCGTGAAGTGAGATATTGAACCTGTCGATGAGATCATTGGACCGCTAACATCACACAATGGGCAGGATTAGTTAAATGTCATTTCTCATTTGCATTCGTTGGTGTTCGACAGTTACGGAATTGACCGAGTTTTACCTCAGTGCTGGTAAAGGAAATTTACATCACAGTAGCCAGCACAAAATACATGTATGTCAAACAAAAAAAGAAAATAAAAGGTATAACGAAACATTTATTGACTGTGTTCTCGCAGGGCTCTCGGTTCTGTATAACTCAGGTGCCGTTGAACGGCCCCATTCCCAGTGCAAAATAGGTACCCTTTTTCCCAAAAGAAAGGTGTAAATTTCCCAATTTTCTATTTTCGCGGATTATAAAACAGCGTAAACTGACCCAAACCAGGTTATACTCGAATAATTTGGCCAAGAATTAGAGTCATTCCTTATAATTTAATTCTAAAATCATTAAACAACTGTGGGTGTAAAATTTCGTTGCTTTTTATTAGTTCAAATTTGCCGCTCAATAATACAACCCTAGTAACGGAAGTGATGGGAAGCGAGGGGGGGGGGGTAAAAACTGATACATAGTCCTAGCAGCCATGTTGTTTTGTTTACATTTGGTAAGATCCAAGTTACTGTTTGAAGTTAAAGGTACTTTTATTAAATCTGGAATTTTCCATGAATCCCGAGGACTGGAAATGAGAGGATTGCATGGATACAGACGATTCAGCTGGTTGTCAGGGGGGTGTGTCCCCATACCAAACCAGGTTATACAGAAATAATTTGTGTTCCTTTTTGGATATTAACCAATCAGAGGCTAGAATACAAACAAAATTAAATTATAACAAAATATTTTTGAAAAATCAATCAATGAAACTTAATCACCAAAAACAAACACAAGTGAAAGTGAAACAAACTAGGTGGCAGGGGATAGTTTCGTACTAAAGACCCGGTCAAATTTCTTTAAAAACTGAGATATCCCCTGTTTGATGTGATATTTTATGTAGAAAAATGATTAGAATGATTATGGGACACATTTGCAGTGTAGCAATGAGTGCTTGCTGAAAAAAATGATGTGCAACATCATTACATGTAGGTGTCACTATGACGCTTATCATATACAGAGTTGTAAATGCGAAACTAAGACATGTGGTCAGTTGCAGAGGAAATTCAGCTGAAAAGCAGTAGGCCTTAGAAGAAGGTGTGTATCTCAGTGGGAAGATGAATGGTCCTGTATCAATTGGTGAATTTTCATTACAGCATGCATTGATTTACAGACTACTGGGTGTTTTATCCTGCTTGCTCGGGCCTGGGAGTGGGTTGTATGGGTGCGACTGAGGCCCAAATCTTGGAAAAACAAGCCAAAATGTGGGGATTTCTCAGGTGCATTTTTGGTACATGTGCACTCTAATAGGCAGATAACATGTAATTTGTGGACAATTTGTGAGCCATGGGCATGTGAAGTGTAAATAATTAGCCCCTGGAAATCTGTCCCCATGTACATGTTTTTTTATGGATCGCAATCATATGTGTACCCCCTCGGCACATGTTTGGCATTACAAAAAACTACCCTCTGCCCCCTAGTTCTATGTACGACTGTATTAGTTCATGCCAGTCCACATATATTTGTAAACTGGTTCGGGGAACCAGGTTATTGTTATTAGGGATTTAGGAAACAATGAGCCATTAATGCAAAGTATTACGTCAAGAAAATTGACAAGAAAACATCATCTAGGTGCCAAAATATAGACATTTTAATTATTTAAACAACAATAAGCTGCGCCTAGCACCACGCCCACCAGTTAGTCTCACACTGAATCTGAAAACCACAATGACCATGTGATCGAGGAAATTCTAGAGGATGTGACTAGCGAATGTCAATCAGAAAGACAAATAACCGCAGTTTCAACACTCAAAGTTAGAAATGAGCAAAGCCAATGTACTTCCAAAAGTAGACTACCCATGTTTGTTCTGTTTAACAGTTTATTCAAAACCAGAATTAAATTGATGATGAAATACTAGAAAAGCAAAATTTGGTCAGTTTTTTCATAAATGTTGGTTTTCCCAACTTTCCCGAAAATGATGGTAATTTCCCCAATTTGAACGGCCCCTGCCCCTGTCCCAAAAAGTGGTGTGAAAACCCTGTCTTGGGGTAAAATGCAATTTGTTGACCCCTTAATTGAATCAAACTGTTTTCCTTCGGCCTAATGGCCTCAGGCAAACACTTTGGTTCTTGGGTTCGACAAAACACATGTTGCCCTCGAACCCAGTTAATAAATGTGTATTATTATTGGAAAATCTAAAAATGTCACTCAGTTAAATTGCAAAAGAAATTTGGAAATATTTTTATGCATAAAAGTTTGAATTATTTCTGTGATAAGACTGCAGGATTGGTTTGTGTTTTGTTTATTGCCCCTTCAAAATTTTTTTAGTCATATTATTATGCCACCACTTGCTGGTGGAGGCCTGCAAATACAGACCTGTACTTGACACTTATGGCCTTTGGGAAGTGAGGGATCTTTTTCGTGCCAGCACTTTCTGTGACACAGAACCTCGGTTTATACGGTTTCATCCGAGGAACCTATTTCCACATCCAGCTGTGGGATTTGAACCTGCAACGTAAAGATCAGCTTCTTACTGACACTTTGATTGATTGTATGTTGTTTTACATCTTACTTGAGAATTGTTCACTCATATAGAGACATTACCACATACTGGTGAAGGGCTTCAAATATAGACCTAAATACTTGGCACTCAGGCCATTGAGCAGTGAGGGTTCTTTATTGTCACAACATCTACTGTGATGTTTTTAAGGTCTCCATCTGAAAAACCTTTGACTTTTACTTCTAATGCTGGGTGTTTGGTGAAGGAACCTTCACTACCTATATGTTTATGTCTTAGGTTTGACGCAGCAAATGAGAATCAAGCCCTAGCCTCCTGATTACAAAATGAATGTCCTACAACTAGGCTACCCTTACAGATAATGAACTACATTATATACCATGTAAAACATTTTTTAGTAAAAAATTAGTTCTTGAAATTAGAAAATAGAATTTTTTATGACTGCATGGGGTATGTAAACTAAGAGTGGTATTTGGGTTATACAGTAAAAACTGTGAACAGACTTGTAATGAATTGAAGCGAATAGTGAAGTGATTTGCATTCCCTGTGGTTTTAAAACATACTGAAAACTAAATTGAAAAATGAATACATTTATAATGAATCAAAATTATTTGTCCCTGGCACTTATAAGCATGTTTTACTGTAATGACAAAATAATGGGGATTTGTTTTCACAGTGGCTGTATATTATGAATAATTTAACTAATTGATTGCAACTTTTCAGTTTTAAACTAATCTTGTTTAAGTAGATGCTTGTCTGTCTCCATAAACTCCAACGAGCAGGAGTTTATGGAAACAGTCGAGCATCTACTTGAATGAGACTAGTTTTAAACATGCTATCTGCATGATCTAAGTGGTATTTTTTAAAAAAAAAAATATGTATACGGTATATTATTTAAAAAGTACATATTATACAAAAAATACCAACTAACCGGTTATGAAAATCATAACCTGTCAACCCATACTAAACCGGTTACTATATTTCTGACTGATTAGATGGTTACCCAGTTGACCATTGCCATCCCTAATAAATTTTTTACATGTACAAGTAATGTGCATTTCCTTTATGTGAAATCATGAAAAAAAAAACCCTCCTAATTAATCCCTATATATTATTTTATTACATCCTCAAA